CTCTCTCCCTCCTGCTCACTCCACTCAGGCTTGGCACGGGCATTCTCCGAGCGGTGCGGTGTCTCGTCCAGGAGAGGGCAGCAGAGGCCCACCCAGGGAGATGAGAGCGACGAGCTTTCCAGCTCTGGCCCTGCCTTCCCACCCAGTGAGAGCCAGCCGGAGGCCATCCTTGCTGCAAACCTGTGACAGCTTCTGCTCCAACTGTGAGGACAGGAACCTGACACAGAGGTCACTCTAGGACACGTGGTGGCAAAGTTAGGCCTGCCCATTAGTTCCCATTACTTCTGGACATCAGGGCCAATCTGCACAACATTTCCAAGAAGCCCCTAATGTCTTTTAGCCTAAAAGTAAAATAGAACTGAAGATATGGAAAATGTCAAACCCCTGGATGCTCAAGCGTCTCCCATTACAAAAGCCCATCCTCGACACTGCCTCCCCTTCTAGCTACTACCCTTCCTCTGTCCGCCTCACAGCCTTGCTCCTAGAAGGTCATCTCCACGGGCAGCATGCATCCACTTCCACAACCTCATCTCACAATTGCTGCTAAGCCCACTGCAGTCTCACTTCTGTCAACCCCACTGAAGCTAATCATATTAATTCTACGCACGACCCAATTGCAAATCAGTGGAAACCTTCTGGCCTAAATTCATCCCCCGGGGAGTTCCCTGGTGGTCTAGTGGTTAGAATTTGGCACTTTCACTGCCATAGCGCAGCTTCAATCCCTGGTTGGGGAACTGAGATGGCACAAGCCACACAGTACGGGCCAAAAAATAAGTTTAAAAATTTTAAACATTTTTAAAATTAAAAAAATAAATTCACCTCCCCATTTCCCCTGCCCATGTCGACTTCCTTTCTGCATTAGCAGATGATCCTATCATCCCTCTCCTTGTCCACACAAGAAACCTGGAAGTCAGTCTAGAATCTACATCCCCCCTTATAACCTCGCCCCATTCAAATCACAAGCCCTGCCAATTCCTCCTCCTAAAAACAACTAAGATTCATCTCCTGTTTTCATGCCACTGCCTCGATCAAGCCTTCATCGTGCAGTCAGGCTTCTAACCACCACCCACCCATCCTTGCAACCATTCAGCAAGTAGCTACACGTGCCAGGCACAGCTGGCCTTGGAGTGACGAGCACGACTGACAAGGCCTGCTCTCACGGGGCTCACATTCCTGGGGCCACACACAGTAACAGGAAAATAAGCAGACAAGACAATATCAGACAGTGATAGGTGTTGTAAAGAAAACCAGACAGAGGGATGTGACAGAACAGCTAGGGGGAATACCTTTCTAATTAAATATGTTTAAATGCCTGGGGGAAGCGACTTCAGTCTGCTCCCCTAGAAAAGGACTCTCTGAGGAAGTGACAAGAAGCTATCTAGGGCATTGTTCAATGGCTAAATCCTCAACTTCCCAGCCTCCCTTCAAGAAGGGGCCACATACACAGTTCTGGCCATTGAGATGGTAGTGGAAGCTGGGGGGCGGAAGTGGGTGTCCTGAGGAAGTTTTTGCTTTCCTGAAAAGACAGACAAGTACCACTGGCACAGTCCCTTCCTGGTCCTCCTGCGTCTCCTCTGACCATGAGGGAGGGAAGGAACGGGAGAGGCGGCCCCTGAAACAACGCCAGCAGCCGCCACCTGCGGGTCTGCCACGTGAGGAAAGCACGGCCTGCTTGCTTAGCAGAGTCTTCTCTTTCTTCCAGCACACAGCATCCTAACTTGGACCATTAGCTCTGTGAGGTTCTGGGGAAGAGAAATCCAGGCAGAGTTCGAAGGCCCTAAAGTGGGAACTACCTTGGCATGGTCGGGGAGGAGAGAAAAGATTGGTGTGGCTGGAGCCCCGTGAGGCGGGAGGAAAAGAGCAGCTGACGACCGAGAGGTGGGGGGGCTCGTGAAGCTCTGCAGTCCCTGGAAGGCCATCCAGACTTTAAGTGCACAGAAGACCACTAAAGGGGTTTAGGCAGGAAAGTAACATACAAATTTAGGTTTCTTAAAAGATCATTCGAGCTACCACGTGGAGAATGAGTCAGGGAGGGAGGGTACGGGAGACACTGCTTCGGGACTGACCCGACAGCTGCTCCCCTCTCCTTTTCTCTTGCCCCCTTCAGCTCTGGAAGCAAGGAAGAAAGGAGTAATAAGAATCAGCAGGCCACGACTTCCCTGGTGGCGCAGTGGTAAAGAATCCGCCTGCCATTGCAGGGCATATGGGTTCGAGCCCTGGTCCGGGAAGATTCCCACATGCCGCGGAGCAGCTAAGCCTGTGTGCCACAACTACTGAGCCTGCGCTCTAGGGCCTGCGAACCACAACTATACTGAGCCCACACGCCACAGCTACTAAAGCCCGCAGGCCTACAGCCTGTGCTCTGCAACAAAGAGAAGCCACCGCAATGAGAAGCCCGCGCACCGCAACGAAGAGTAGCCCCTGCTCGCCGCAACTAGAGAAAGCCCGCGCACAGCAATAAAGACCAAACAGTCAATAAATAAATAAATAAATAAATTTATTTATTAAAAAAAAAAAATCAGCAGGCCAACAGCCTCCTGCTCAGCAGAATGTAAGCACCGCAACACCCTGACTACCCCATGCCTCTTGCCACGTCTGCCTAGCAAATCCCTTCTTACACATCACATGCCAGTTTCCGTGAGGCCTCCCTCACTTCGCAAGAAGACCAGGTGTTCCTTCTTCCACCGCCTCCCATATCACATCCCTACTTCCATCATAGGTATACAACAGTCTTGATAGCAGTCGACGTAATGGGACTGCTCATTCAACTATACAAGCATTCGTTCTCTCCACAAATGCATACCAAGCACTTGTTATATTCAGACGCTGGGCTAGGGGTCCGGAACTCAACAGTGACCAAGTTCGATTTTTAGGTTTGGTCCCTGCCCTGGTGGAGCTTTCAGTCTAAAAAGTGAGATATTCAGACAGTTAAGGTTTGGGGAGAAAAGCAGCCCGTCTCCCAGACCATGAACTGCTGCACGGGAGGGACGATCGCTCTGACTTACCCCCAGGACCGAGCACACCGTCTCACACAGAGAAGGTGCACTATGACCTAAAAATGCATTTCTTATCTCTACCAGGAAACTCCCCAAGCATGAGTCGCTATACTCTCGTGTATTAAATCACGCACTCAAGCATCTTGAAAAACACTCTGCTCTCTCCCCACACTGTTGCAGGTCTCTTCCCCTACAAAAGGTTCCAAGAGTGTCTAACATAACACTTCATATCAGAGATCCTTAGTAGATGTGTGTTTGGCTGAAGGCTTCGTTTGGATTTTCTAAACGGGGATACCTCATTGTCAGAGCCATGGCTGCTGAAGTGTGATTCTGAAAGCACTTAAAATAACTCCTCAGGTTCCTACCCCATAGCTTATTATGCGTAGCTTTAATAGTTCTCTAAATGCCCCATTTTGTTGTCCTTTCTACTACTGCAGATGATGGTAGCTGGGAACAAGACAGCAGAGACAAGGGAAATAAAAATAATACAGCCCCCACTTCGGTCTGTATTATTTGTTGCTTCTGTTGCCATAGTGAAGTTAACAAGTGACACACAGGTGAGAGGTCCTTCCTACAGTGGAACCAGTGAGTTTTGGAGGCCAGAGAGGTAGGACACACACACATGCAAGACTTCCATGCCTCGTAGGCCTGGAAAGGACTTCACCAGGCCAACTGGCCCACTCTCCTGCCTCTAAGCTAAAAATCAAATGGATGGGCAGCTTGCTCCTAAAAATCCTCAAGAACAAAGTCCACCACCTCTGAGTCACCCATGGGGCTCTTATTTCACAATATTCATGGCCCTGAATGGGTTTTCTGTGTCTAATCTCATTCGCTCTTGCCGTCCACCCAACCCAATTCCTCTGACTATTGCTTCTATGGAAATAAAAGTTAATCATCACCTGTACACTTTGTACAGTAACCCCGGAGGTAAGATAAAAAACAAAAGCCACCTTGGAAGCGTGGACTCTGCTTGAGTATAACCACGACCAGCTGTGTTCCTCTCAGGATTCCCCACCCCTGCTCTTTTGTCCGGTCTTGGCTCTGGGAGTGAGTGGCCTGGAGGGGCAGGGAGTACACGGGGTTGAGGCACATGTGGAAACACCCACTGACCTAGCTCAGAGGCCTCTGCCACGAACAGAGAAACAGGCCTGCTACCTACCCGGTCAGAGTTGGGGCAGAGCAGCCTCCCGTGAAGGATGTCTTCTTCCTTCTAAGTGAAATAAAGCAGAGAGAACAGGGAGGTCTGTTTTTAATGAGCATCTTTAAAAGCCTTTGCAACAGCAGACACAGCCCGGAAACCCACACTGATGGCAACAGGGCTCTCTCGCTTCCAGATGACCCTGCAAAACAGAAATGGTGCTGCTAAATCAGGAGTGTGGCTTTTTCCCACCTCACATTTAAAAATCCCAACCTTCAAAATCATTTCAGAAATCCTGCCTGAAAAATGTGTGATAGCCCTCACGGCGTAGCCTGGTTTGACGATGAAGGGGGCAGGAAAGCGCCCAATCCAAATGCAACGAGGGAAACTGCCCCCACCCTTTCCAGAAGCAGTGGGAAAGCCCTTCTACTCCCGCCGCCAAAGACACAAGGAAAAGGCCACCTGCAGGAGCACACAGGAATTCTGCAGCCTGAGAGCAGGCTCTTGATACTAACGGATCCCACCCCATTTCCCTGGCTCTCTCTTTCCTCCAGAACTACTCAACTTCCATTCTCTTGATCCATGTCACTACATTAAGAAGACGGATGTCTCTCCCTGCCACGGACATGCCAGACAAACCCTGGGCCTCTCTTCACATTCCCTAAAGTAGTGTCAGGAAAATGAAACACTTGCACGGAACTTCTCTGCAACATCTCTGTTTGGTTTCTTTCACACCCTGGGCCGAGGAACCAGTGCTTATTTTCACAGGAGTAAAGAAGCCTCTGACTGTAAGTGAGGTTAACACCCACCCCGAGGCTGGATGCTTTCTGTTCTCTCTCAACAGCTGAGCATCATGATTTTGCTAATTAAGCCGCTTTCTTCTCCTTAATTAGCTGCATGTGAATCTTGTTGGGAAGTCTTGGATCCGTGAAATAGTCTGGGATAAGAATTAAAAAGAAGAAATCATCTAAACCCAAGGGAAAAAGACTAGGCGAGAGACAGCTCACTCTGCTAAAAAGCCAGGAAGGCTCTGTCTTAGCAGGACTGTTACTGGTGGTCCTGCTTTACAATGTAATATGACATGCCACAACAAATCCCAAGGTCACTGTCTTCCCCGCCGCCCCCCCCCCCAGAAGTTCTGAGCCTCCAGCTCCAGCGTTCCCAGCAAGGGCTGACAGGGCGGCCCCTGTCCCCTCCACACCGCCCTGCCGCTGGCCTGTCAGCTTGCTGACGCACAGGGAGCCATGAGAGGGCTGAGGGAGTTTCTGGCTTTCTGCTCCAGGCCCATCTTGGGGCCCAAATAAATACCAAGCGTTATTCTTGTCTCAGCTCGGCCTGCTGGCTCCTGTCTCTGAGACATCACGCCCTCTCTGAGAATATCCTCTCAGAGGAGAGCCAGGCTCTTGCAGGATGACGACAGAAGAGGATTTTTATATACCCAGCATAACGTGAATCAGAAGCAGCATCTGCTGTGACAGCAAAGACATACTTAGATTCAGTCAGAAACGGTTTGAGGCTGTAATCCCAGGGCTAAAAGGACCCAAGAAATCATCGAGCCCAGCCCCCTTCCCTTTAAATACCATTGACCTCAAGCCATCTCAGGGCAGCGGAGCCCATTAGAATCACCTGGGGAGCCTTTAAAACTGTGGATGCCCGGCCCCACCCCAGACTAATTAAATAAAAACCTCTGGGGGTGGGCCCGGGCATCAGTATTTTTTAAAAATTCCCCAGATTATTTTAATGTGCAGCCAGTGTTGAGAACCCTGCTTTAAGATTCCCAGGGTAAGAGCTGCCAGTCTGTTCCCTAGGGAATCTCAAAATTCTTAACAATCTTTACCATGAGGAAGTTCTGCCTCGTTTCTTATCTGTCCTCATTTTGAGGAAATGACATTGAGGAAAGAGCCTTTTGAAAAAAGCTCCCTTGGGAGACATTGGATAAAGAAGCACCCCAGACTCTGCAGGGAGAATCCTGGGCTTGTCCGAGTCTAAATTCACAGTAACACTCCTGGTGCTCATTTATCAAACAAACCCAAAATGGATGCGGCCTTACTCACCTGCAGCAAATTCTTGAACGTTGTCTGGTCTTTCCAAAAACATTTCTCTGGAAAACATCAAGGGATAAGGGGAGGAGGTAAAGCAGGTCCTGCACTGTCGGGGCAGATGACCTGAGACACAGGCAGAAAGCCAGAGGACTCCTGCCAAGGACCCTTTCCTTCGTGATTTTCCTTCTAGTCAGGATCTGAGGCCAGGAGCAAGACATTCTAAATGGCAAGAAGCCTAGGGAATGCTCACCTCACAAGACAGCAAGCGCTGCAGCCAAGTGAAGCTTGTCATTCACTCCACAAACATTTCACAGAACCAGAGACCAGCCCGGGCCAGGCGGCAAGTTGAAGAGCTTGCTGCCTCCTCCTCGAGGGACTCACGTGTGGTGGGACAGATGTGCAACCCACAACCTTCCAAGGAAGTGTAACCAGGAATCGTCACGGGTGTGGGGGAGGGCACAGTAAACCACGCTGAGAGGATGGACTTGAGATGGTTGTTGGCCCTGCATACAGTGGACACCGGGACAAAACCCACGGTGCCGGTGCCACTGGGAAGCTGAAACTGCCTTATAGCCCACCGACTTTCACAGCTCATAAAGCTCGGTCATAAACATTATCTCACTCTACACTCTGTGAAACAGCAATGACTGTGCCCCATTTTGCATATGAAGAAAGCAAGCTTTCAAAAGGTTGACCATTTGCCCAAGTTCATAAAGCAAGTAAATAAAGGAGAGGAGGCCTTGTGGTTCCAAGGCCAGTGCTCTACAACATGACCTTGTGGCCATGGCTGCCCTGCCCCACCGGCATGGAAGGCCCTCCCTGCCCAGGAGGCCCCTGCCTCCCAAGCTTCAAGAATTTTGCTTCCCTTCTTCTCCTTCAATTCAAATTGAGAATTGTTGAGCACAAATTCTGTGTAAGTCACTATATAAGATATGAGGGATAGATTTTAAAAAGATAAAATATAGCCCCACCTCAAAGGAATTACAGTCAAGTGAAAGGAAATGGGTAAGTTCCCAAATGTCCAAAAGGCCAAGTAACCTCCAGGTAGTGCTACGGGAGGATATGAAATAGTGTGCTGGGAGATCACAGGAGAGAGAGTGATTCCTTACAGCAAGACCCCCAAATCCTCACAGAGCAGCTGGCATTTGAGAGCGCCCTTGAGGTACACATGGGACAAGGGCTGAGGGACAAGAGCCTTCCAGACCAAGGAGCAGCAGGAATAAAGGCCCGAAAATTAAAGGGAACTGCCCATGTCCTATTGACAGTGAACTCCAGAGGGTAGGAACTGGGTCGTATCCACCTTTGTTTCCCCAGGGTCTAGAAGAGCACTCAGGGAGTGTCAGTGCCCCTGCAGAGGGCGGTGGAATGATCAGAGAGGTCCCGTCTGGCTGGAGTGGGGGCACGTGCAGGGAGTAGTGGGAAGCGAAGGAGGCCCTAGTATGGAGGGCCTTGAAGACCAGGGAGAGACATTCATACTCAGTTCAAGAGACAATGGTGGGGGGACTTCCCTGGTGGCACAGTGGATAAGAATCCGCCAGCCAATGCAGGGGACACGGGTTCGAGCCCTGGTCCGGGAAGATCCCACATGCCGTGGAGCAACTAAGCCCATGTGCCACAACTACTGAGCCTGTGCTCTAGAGCCCGCGAGCCACAGCTACTGAGCCAGTGTGCCACAACTACTGAAGCCTGCGCGCCTAGAGCCCGTGTTCCGCAACAAGAGAAGCCACCGCAATGAGAAACCCACGCACCGCAACTAGAGAAAGCTCACGCGCAGCAAGGAAAACCCATCGCAGCCAAAAATAAATAAATAAATAAATTTTTAAAAAAAGAGAGAGACAATGGGGGGACTTCCCTGGTGGCGCGGTGGTTAAGAATCGGCCTGCCAATGCAGGGGACACGGGTTCGAGCCCTGGTCCGGGAAGATCTCACATGCCGCAGAGCAACTAAGCCCATGCGCCACAACTACTGAGCCTGCACTCTAGAGCCTGTGAGCCACAATTACTGAGCCCAAGTGCCACAACTACTGAAACCCATGGGCCTAGAGCCCATGCTCCGCAACAAGACAAGCCACCACAATGAGAACCCCGCGCACCGCAACGAAGACCCAACGCAGCCAAAAATAAATAAATATACTTATTTCTTAAAAAAAGAGAGAGACAATGGGAATGGATAAACAAAGCGTGGTAGAGTCACACAGTGGAATACTACACAGCAATGAGAATGGAGGATCTGAAAGATACTGCTGAGCAAAAGAAGCCAGGCACAAAGGAGCACATATTGTGGAATTCCATTTGTATAAAGTACACAAAAAGGCAAAATGAATCTGTGTGATTAGAAGTCAGGACACTGGCTAACTTTTTGGAGGAAGTGACTGAAAGGGGCCACAAAGGGTCTGAGGTGCTAGTCAGGTTCTAGTTCTTGAACTGGACGCTAGTATCATGTGTGTTCTCAGCTTGTGAAAGTTCATCCAGTTTAGGATATGCCACTTGTCTGTACTTTATATTTCAATAGAATGTTTAAAAAAAAACAAAAAAAGGCAATATTGTGGATCCACTGAAGATTTTTCCAGCCAAGGAATGATATGATCTGTGCTATGGTTTGGGAAGATTCATCTGCCTGGCTGTTTACAAAAACACCTAATAAAGCCTGTCTACAATTTCACACTTTGTTATCATATCTCCAGCCTAAAACCTGAGATCTCTGGATGCCTAAAATAAGTTAGATCCCTATTTCTAACATTTTTCAGTTCTAAAATTCAAGGCATTAAGAGTTCCATATACTGTATATATGAGTATAGACTGGAGAGTTGTAGCTGAATGGCCATAAATCATTAGGATCTGCAAAACCCAAGTGGTGAGCTTGCCTCCCAACAAAAACAGCGTGGGGCTTCTCATGGCTTGCAGTGAGTGTACAGCAGAGACCTGCAGACAGGTGAGGACAGGCATGCTGCCCAGGATTCTGTCCCCTCTTCTCCCTTCCTCTTTTCTCACAGGAAGGACCATCTGAAGCATCCAATGCAGACAAGGGGCTGATTCTGGTTCACTCTGATATTATCCAAAGGAAATAACAATCACACCAAAAAGAAAACCAAAAGCAAACCCTCAAAGTTCAAACACTTCCTCTCCCCTCTTCCCTCCCCCTCAGAAAGAGAAAGGCCTAAAAGGGGCCAGGAGGATTTCACGAGAGGAGCTTCCAGGACAGCAAAAGGAGAAGCCTGGTGGCCTACCTGGCCCAGGGAGGGGGATGATAAGGAAGGAAAGGGAAGATGCCTAGAGCTGTCCTTGCAGACAACCAGCTCCTCCTGGAAACTGTTCCTGGGCAGAGAAGCAGGGCCACCCCTGCCATGTGACTAAAACAACACCCTCTTTATTCACCACCCCCAAGGGTTCTAATTCTTTTGTTTGTGAACATTGCAAATGGTGAGTTAATTCAGGTTTTAACATCTATCCCCAGTCTCGCTGCTGGAATCATTCCTAACTTGGATTGCAAGCTCCCCAGGATAGGAAAGATGTCATCCTTTATCTCCCTTTAGAAGAAAAGGCACAGAAAGTGATGGCCTGATCTCTAGGGCTGACACTGACAGAGGACCCCTAAACTATCTTTTGCCCAAGCCTTAAGCCTGGCCCAAAAAAACCAAACCTCACAGACAGGTTTCCATTTTCCCTTTCCCCTTCCCCTATCTGCCCTCTGAGAATCGGCTGCCACTTTGTAGAACAATAAAGCATGGAAAAAAGACACCCCTCCAGGCCTACTTTTAAAAAGACAAAGGAGAGCCCTACCTCTGGCTCCCCAGCTCCTGTGTGCTTACAGTGCAACACAGTGGAAAAACCAGGGGTTTGGATCCTGGTTCAGCAATCTGGGGAAGGTATTTCACCTGTAAAATGGAAGTGATAAACTATATTTATAGAGTTGCTAGGAGGATCAGCAAAAATGTACCAAAATGTCATACACTGTGGGCCCTGAGGACACAAACATGGCTCCACCAGCTTAGAGCTTTGGTCCAGGGAGAGAAAGAAAATGCAATTATACAATGTGATAACTGCTAATGTAGGAAACCAACAGCAGTGCCTGGAAATGGAAGCCATTATTATTTAAATCGTGCCTATCTGTTTGTAGCCAAACAGTATTTGACATAGCTCTATTGTTTTCATCCATTGATGCTCCATGATTTTTTTTTCCCTCAGTTCTTTGCTTTTCATCCTATTAGGAACATTTTCATTCAAGCAAATGCCATGCTGAAAGACAGTGTGGGGGAAGGAAAAAGGTGCTCCAAGACATGGTGGAAAATGGTTTTCTTTTCCCCATGACTTACAAGGGAGTGGCTTCCAACCCTTGGGAGTCTTTCCACACCAATGTTCTCAGGTAGAGAAAGGCCAGACGTCTGAATTTTTTTTAAGTTCTAGTGATGTTGTTAAATGCCTCTGATAGAGAATAGGGTTCTACACCCAATGGCTGCCTGCTGAGTTTCTCAATGCCAAATTCCCTCTTCCAAGTGTTGGAAGGTATGTATTTATCCTTAGAGCTACAGTGAAAGCATATTAATATTTTTGAGAATTTTGAGATAACTGAAGGAAACCTCTAGAGATAACAAGAAAACCCTGGGTGCCACAGACCCCAGCACTAGAAAATATTCAATCTCAGGATATTTTCTAAACTTCAGACCCTAAAGGAAGCAACAAATAGTGTTTAAAGAAAGAAGAGAGGGCTTCCCTGGTGGCGCAGTTGTTGAGAGTCTGCCTGCCGATGCAGGGGACGCGGGTTCGTGCCCCGGTCCGGGAAGATCCCACATGCTGTGGAGTGGCTGGGCCCATGAGCCATGGCCGCTGAGCCTGAGCGTCCGGAGCCTGTGCCCCGCAACGGGAGAGGCCACAACAGTGAGAGGCCCACATACCGGA